CCCCCCCCCCTCTCTCTCTCTCTCTCTTGCGCGCTCTCTCCTGTGCCTCTTGTCCGGCCCCCTGATCTTTCTGTCCATTGGCTTCTGTGGGTCTATATTTCATGTCCAGCCCCTAATGAGTGTCCATTGGTTTTTTTATTTCCATTCCCTCCTCCCACTCCCCGGCTTTGCCCTGCCCATGTTTTGTATGTCTGTGTCCATCCATCTCCTGACGTTCAAGTTCGCGGGGACGTCACGTCCGCACTTGAACTTGCTGCTCAGGGGGGCTTTTGCCATTTTTTCATCTCTCTCTCTCTTTTCAAAAAAGCCATGACGGCTATCCCACAATCCATCTTCCCTGCGCCATCTTTGTATTATTTCTAATTTATTTTGGATGTCAAAGGCATTGATGAAGATATTTTCTCTGGAGTCTGCCTTGTAACCCGGCTCTCCCGATGTGAACCGAGCTGAAAGCCACCACCGACCACCATGTCTCGCCGCAAGCAAGGCAAGCCTCAGCACTTAAGCAAACGGGATTTTTCGCGTAAGTAGAATAAAATTGCAATTTACACTCCTTTTCCACACTTTCCTCCGGCACGCGGTCATATCTGTTCGGTAAGGAGCGAAAGCTGTAACGAGGAGCGCAATTCTTGGTGAATGCACGCTGGACACTGGACTGCAAGGATCGTGGTCAAGTGGACTTCAGTGAAAAACGTGGAGAGAAAAAAAGATTTTCATCTAGGAAATGCATCTAGGAGTGCCTTCCCTTCATTGCATTTGAGCAGAAAAAGTTTTGCTTTTTCCAGCATGCAACCTTTTTATATCGGAATACTTTACAGTCCGAATTTCCTAACGTGCATATACCTTGGCTTTAGTGCCCCAGTAGCCTCAGCCACTTACGTGCATATGCGAAGGTAGGGTGCTGCTCTTGGTATGCGCGCTTGAGGTATTTAGGATATCTAGTGGACTATCCCGTAACACTCTCTATTTAGGATCCGGAGAGGATTTCCCTCCTCTCGTACTATTTTTGGAAGATTTTCAAAAAACTGGAAGTGGATTTTGATTGGGAAAATCTCGTGTTCGACTGTTTACAAGCACCGCGTGCGCGTAAGCCGCTGCCAACAGTGTGAAAAAGCGGCGGAAAGAAGGAGAAAATAAACCAGCATTTTCGCTTCTCAGATATCTGCACGATCGGTAGTGAATCAAGCGGAATGTTTTGCATTTAGTCTGTTGTAAGGTGTTATTTTCGAGAAGAGAAAATGTGCGTAGAAGCGACTCCTGTAGTAATTGGAGGTGAGATTTCATAAAGAGCAACAGGAACGCGGTCAGTATTTTGCAGCTGGTTTTTGTTTCCTTGCTTCGCCGGCTCTTTTTCTTTAAAAATAAACACAAACGCTTGCATTTTACGCATGCACGAAACTGGGAAACTCGCCTTCTTTATCATTCAAGAGGCGTCCCGATCTTTTTCACTTATCAAGCCAGCACAACGCTGTTTCACAAAGCCGTAATGTTGTTACTGACTCGTGTAATATTTCTTGTATCTAGGCCTTCTATACATATATTTAATTTAATTTCAAAGACACGATAAAATGCTCGACTGGAGAAAGAATGGGGTACTGATAATTCTACCCTCGATGCTGCTCGTTGTTGCGTACGGGCGGATTTGTCCGAATACGGTACTTCGTCTGTTATACATACGTGCAAGGGATAATTTCCGAAATCGCAATGGCACTGTAACTTACATATATCGTAACGTTTCCGTGGTCTGTGACCCGTGTTTAGAAATGTTGGTCAGGAGAACAGGCATCCTTCGCAAGTTGCGGTGAAGTCCCGGTTGTGCGTGTCTGGGCTTCGTCGCTAGGAGGCAGAAGACGATCATAAACTGGAAATGAACTTGAACCTGATCAATTTCAGAGCCACCTCAATCTACATATTCTGACGATATGTTTGGAATAAAAGGAAACGTATAATACGAGGTTATGGCTCTTTCGTTTCCCCTCCTTCTTACTCCCCCCGCCTCAAATACTGTGCCTTTCTATGAGTATTTAAGTTAAACGAATTCTCACAAAATTGTCAACGTATTGTGTACCATATGAGTATCTTTAAATGATCTTTAAAATGTTAAATTGCTATCAGAAGCTTGCATATTCTGTTCCTCAGCAAGAAAAGAAACGAAAAATCGCTTTGAATGAAAGACAGACTATTTTGTAGCTATTTTTAGGTGAATGTTGTATGCAAAACAATTCACATCTTACTGTATGCTAAAAGACTGCTTATGACGACTCTTAATTTAAGGTTAGTTCTCATATCTTTTATACAATCGTCAATTTAAATGCGATTATATTAATTTTTAAGTTGAGGCTTAAAAAAACAACAGACTGTATAGTTTACTAAAATTTAACTGAATGTGTTTTCATTTTCTAAAGAAAGAAAGGAAATAAAAACCAATAGCGTTTTTTTTTCTCTCTTTCAATCTTTTAAATGCATTGCGATCCAAAGACTGGAGAGCGCAACTGTGTAAGTTGCTCCTTCTTGGTTTTGATCTTGGTTTTATTTGCACTGCATGTTACTCACGATTTTGTTTTAGGGATGCTTGTTCAATGTGCACAAAATTCGCCTTCATTTGATGATGCGCGTCTAATCAGCTCCATACAAATGTACTGAATTTGTGTGTCAGCACGGTGTATTTTGTTGTCATATTTTATTTTTGTAAATTATATTTTGGGTGTAAATATTTTAAAATCAATAGCGTTAATACCAGCTGTGCATGTCGGCATTTTTTCCTTATTAAACATTAACGCTAATCAATTTTAAATAAGATGAATAATTAAGTAAGAGCTTCCTTTAAAATACAGGGTTAGCAGCCATAAAAAATATTTGAAAAAAACAACAACAAATCTAAATGTTTTAGCATATATTGGCCAGCCATAGTTAGTTGTTTTTAAGCATGCATACGTAAAACGAAAAAGAAAAAATGTCGCCTAAAACGTGTCAAATTAGAATTTAACTAAATTATTCGTTCGTTAATTTATAAACGTAAAAATGTATTAGCAGTTTTTCCCCAGTGCCCCTCCAAAAATTAGTTTACTTTGAAGGGGGCTGTGATGATATCGTTTTTCAGTAACACAAACAAACAAACAAACAAACAAACAAACAAACAGCGACCAACGCGGGAAAAAAACATCCAGTGTGGCCAAAGAGAGAGAGGGAAAATAATATCATTCATCAAATACAGGAATCACCTGGGATTAAAAGGAGATCCAATTCCACAGCCACTGATGTGGTCAGTGCTGGGGGGTCATCCCGGAGCTATTGTACGCAAACCGAGAGCCCAGCTCATCGATTATGATTATCTAAAGCGTCTGAAAGGGCAGAGGTGTTGTATAACCCGCAGAATTCCAGTGTCTGGCCTTACATGAAATTAAGCATAGGAATTTTTCACGTTATCTCAGTGTCCTAGTTCGGGTATCGATGTCGCGTGGCGTTGCTCTATCCGAGCGATATCGCCTCGCAGGCACGTCTGGGAGCTAGTCTACATACGCCCCTCAATATGTGGTCTAGGTTGGGCTAAAATAAATTTAACCTCAGTTCATAAGATCCCAGCACTTTTTATCAAAAATCTGTCCCAATCAACGCTGAACTCAAATTAAAATCTATTTTTTGATTCTCAGTGGTTTTAAGTTCATTAAAATGTGAAATTGGCAGTTTAGTAAAGAAGGTCAAGTTGTTTAACCATTAGGAGTGCTTTCACCTCTGTACAGTATGATTTCAGTTAAACTGGGCATTGACTGCAGCCACCGACATTAGATATGCATTTTCCTTCAGTGCCTTTAAATATCTCCTTTGAAATGTTCGTCCGATTATCGCAACCCCTAGCTCGGGAGCTATAACATACGGCTGGGTACACGTTTGTAGCTGTTAAACGATTGAACATCCTAATCCGGGATCCTCTGTAAACCACCTTTTCTTGCAAACTCGTTTCCGGCTGCGAACCTGCAAATAAAAGTAAAGCGCGAGGAAAGGATTCAGTGATACTATTTTCGTAATAAAATTCACTGGGTCTTCCCAGCCTACACATGTGTTTAGCACATTTTAATCATTCCTCTTTTAGACCAGGACGTTCGGAGTAAACGAGTGAGAGGGAGGGAGAGAGAGAGGAAGAAGAAAAATATTTTAAAGGAGGAGTGCCTGAAAGCAATTTATTTTAATTCGCATATCCCGCGTGGGTACTTAACTGCAATTTTTCTATGCGCGCATCATACAATGACCGTCTTGTCTGTAAACTGGAGTATGTATTTAACATATAAAAACTTTATTTAAACAATTCACTTTTCTTCGGGAACTTTTTGCAAGATTTATACACACTGGTCCGCAAGAATTCAGACAACGCCAAGTAACACCTGCATAGCAATACATGATAAGGGCATGCGATTCTGCTTGTCAAATAACGTAAAATTATATTATGTGGCAGTGCTTTAAGCACAGCAATATTTGTGAGATTTAATTTTTGTACTCAAAAACAATAAGGAAAAATAGGCTAAAGTAACAGCTGTAAGTTTCCCGCAGTGTAAAGCCCAGTGCTTTAGTCCTTCTTCAGTCGTTCCCAGATTTATGACTTAAGAAATTCCTTGCATCAAATGTCAACTCTCTAAGTAGGAAGCGGAGGATCAACGCAGCGTATTAGGATATTTACACTTAGGAGGCCACTGTTGTCTGCTGTTTAAAACAAGTTAAACAGACTATAAAAACAAGTTACAACCGTCCAACCGCTGCTCCGGAAAACGGGCCAACGTTACACGCGTACGTTTTTTTTGTTTTGTTTTTTTTTGGGGGGGGGGGTGATTATGGCTCCTTGGTCCTGGTGTCTGTTGTGAGTGTGTAACGTTTCCCTTGTCTCTTCTTTTCTCTGCCCCCCACCCCCTGGCCGGCGACCGCGTGGCGCACAGCCGAGCCCCTGGCTGCAATCGTCCCGGAGGAGCAGCCGGCGCACCAAGGGCTAGCACAGGTGGCTCCCGATGGGGACCAGGACCTCCTCACCTGTGGCCAATGCCAGATGAACTTCCCTCTGGGGGATATCCTTGTTTTCATCGAGCACAAGAGGAAACAATGCGGCAGCAACCTGTGCATGGACAAGCTGGTGGATAGGCCGCCCTCACCCCTGCTCCCGCCGCCCCAAGGCCAGCTGCGGAGATCGTCCAACCCAGTGGAGGTGGGCGTCCAGGTGACGCCGGACGATGACGATTGCTTGTCCACGTCCTCCCGTGGAATTTGCCCAAAGCAGGAGAACGTACCAGGTAAGCCAGGGCCCCCCAGTCGGTGACGCGGAGGCGCGTGCGCGTGCGTGCAAGCGAGCCGGAGGGGGATCTGGCGGATGACGGCAGGGTGGGGGCTGCTGTCTCGGAGACACAAGCGGCCTGGATCCCGGCGGTTCGCGAGGAATCCAGCTGCCTGTCTGGCGGTAGCGAGGAATGCCGGGCCCGCTTCAGTTTGAGCTGTGAAAATAAAAACCATAACGAGGATTTTTAAAAGCTGCAAATTTAACTCAGCCGTGTGTTCACTTCAAACTTTTACGTTTTCTCATTCTGGATAAAAGTAGCATAAAGCGCTTGTCTGAGGAGTGGGAAAAATCAGATGAAATATGGATTTTAGTCTGGTAGTGTAATTGCTTACCGTAAATTGTTAGGATTATTTATTTATTTAAGAAAATATTTTATTTATTTACTATCAGGCTGAGGGCACAAATCTTTACATTAGTGTTTAGACATTTTCCGCAGTGTTTATCTTTGCTTTAATTTATTGTAAGGTATATGGTCCGGTACTGTCCAGTAGAGGTGAAATGGTTAAGTCAGTTCATTGTCCATCCCTAGATACATACAGTTTTTATTTATTATTATTATTATTATTTCACCGCAGTAATCAAATACAACCCTGTGGCAAAGTCACACTCCAGACCTGGACTCTGAGTTGCTGTGTGTGACTGGTTAGGCCAGAGCAGAGTTAGGGTGGGTCACCTCTTGGGCACAGACAAGGGCTGCCCTTGTGGAGAGGTTGGTGAGCTTAGGGGCCGGCAGGGAGGGGTGTGTGTGTGGGGGGGGGGGGGGG